GCGGGGTTGACTTAAACTGCCATGAGATTGTAGGCTCCATCTACAAACCTGGTTTCTTTTTTTTACACAGAAAAGAATTAGCATTTTATCCCATTTTAAATGAAAGCTTATTTACATTCAGCTCTTGACATCTTCTTTGTCAAGAAGGGTCATTCATGAACTTCCTGGTTCCTGCAGGCTTCTCAGTCATTGTACCAAAACCAGCAGCAGTGATTTGTTAGACTGTCAACAAACAATGCTTCTGCATGATCTTTGTTCCAACATTAGCTGTCGTAGGAGAAACTGAGCCTTGAACTTTTTCAAGTGGGTATTAAAAATCCCTTCCAGTGATAGCTGTATCTTTGGCTTTCTCCAAGGATGCAGCTAATTCATTTCAGTGATATGTTATTGCTGGAACAGTCTGTAGCACTGCTGAAACTTCAGTGAGATACATCAGTTAAACTGCAAGGAAACACCTTTGCTAGAGCACTCAGTCCTACCTCGTGGGAGATGAATCAGTTGCATGTGTGAACTCATGTCTGCAAAATAACTGGATGCAATGAGTGCAGTGTGGGATCTGGGTACCCCAGTTTAACAGTAAGTTTATTCCATCAAACTGAAAATGCCTGGAAACAAAATTGTAGAATTCAAAAAAGCCTAAACCTCATGAAATTTCTGAGCTTGCCACCTTGGACAGGCGCATGAGCATTTAAGTAGTAAAGTCTCATCTGTTATGAAAGCATAATTTGAAAGCTTTACACAAACCAGCTCCCAGTGATTTTATAGGAACTTTATTCTCTCACAATTGCTAACATTTGATTGTTCAGAGTAAAATAGATCTAGCTGGCTAAATCATGATTTCAACAAGTCTCATTAGTATCAAGAAGCCTATATGGAGGACGGGAAATGGAGTTTTCTCCAAAACTTCTTTGTCATGTGTTTGTGGTTTGATTGAACTTTTTCTTTTTTTTCTTCAAATTATGATCTATGCTTTGGTCTTACATATAACTCAAATCAAAACAGAGAAGCAATATAAGTTAAATCTTTACCATGTGTATTCAGCCACGAACCTTTTGCATTCACTCAGTAACCTACATGTTCTGAATATATCCATAAGGCATATGTCCAGCCTAAGTAGCTGCTAACATAATTTAGAACTGCAGAGAACTTAAATAATATGCATCTGTGAAGCAAATTTTAATGTCTCTATTGGCCAGGTTTATGGGTATAGCTCAGTGTCTTGCTGTAGAAAATGCCACGCAAAAGACATTGCTCACTGTGAGCTTCTTGAAAAGAGCTTCACTAAATTCCTTTTTCTGGAAGTTTACCTGCTATGAACCTTGTATTGCTATATTCTGTGTCACTCAACATCACTGCTGACATCATCCAGGATGGAATAAAGAAAGATTTCTTTAAGTTACTTCCTTATCTTCTCCAATCAGAGGGTGCCAATAAGTTGCACGGGCTCCCAACATGAGTTAGGTCAGCTAGCCAGGTATAGACCTGCTTCCATAGCTTGGGTTTGAACAGTGATTGGACTGGCTTGTGGCAGTGGGCTTGGACCTCCTTTGTGGTCTGTATAACACTGAACTGATGAGCAATACTTAAGAAGAATGTTAATGGTAGAGGGAGATCTTCACAGGATCACAGAACGGTTAAGGTTGGAAGGGGGATCAACCCTCCTGCTCAAGTAGGGCCACCCAGAGCCAGTTGCCCAGGACTTTTGAATATCTCCAATGGTGGAGACTCTGCAACCTCTCTGGGCAATCTGTGCCAGTACTTAGCCAGCCTCACAGTAAAAAAGTTTTTCCTGATGTTCAGACAGTGCCTCCCGTGTTTCAGTTTCTGCCCATTGCCTCTTAAAAATCTTGCACTAATATAATGAAATATGTTGCTAAAAACCTTGCCTCTCTTGTAATCTTAGATATTGTAGCAAAAAAAAAATCCATTAAAATAGGGCAAATAATACATTTTGGTGATGCTTATTCTGCTTTCCTTCAGAAAAGACAGTACAGTGGGTTAATAGTAAATGAATCACTGATCTCCAAATATCAGTCCTTTATCTACCTATATACTGATTTCTGAAAATACAATTTCAAATTCAACTCTGATATTCTTTTATGTTGCAAATTATTTTCTATGTAGTTTAAATAGCAGCTGGGACAATCTGATAAAAACGCACAGAAATATTAGCAGTTTTAATCCAAACTTTTATCAGAGCTGTGAAGCCTGCAATTTTACGGTACAGAAAATATGAAAGATGCAATGTCTTTAGAGAACTTGAATGCCATAAGTTAACAGCTGCAACTTCATATAGCTGTGCATCACTCCGCAATCATAAACTCAAGCTATGAGCGCTCTTCCCAGTCTGAGCACTCATGATCAATTTGAATAGAAATGATTCACTCAGGATTTGGGAAGCAAAGGAAAGAGGCTGAAATGAATTATTCACAAATTGCTCCTGAAGAGGTAAATACCATAAGGTCAGAACTTCTCAAACCAGTCATGATAACTGCAGCAAAATCCCCATTAACCTAGGAGTGTGCTTTGGGTGGTGCGTTGGATCTATGTATTAAGAATCAGTTTTGAAATTTTCTCTTCAGTAGGTAACATCAAAAAGACTTGAGGACATTGCACTGAAGGCTCAGTGAAAGCAAATCAGTCTCCTGCTCTTAGGCTTCTTAATGCATTGCAATGCCTCTGAAACCTCTTTCCTCCCCTGCTATTTCTGACTATTCCTCTGTGCTTTTTTGAACCAGATTTGTCTAAGATATCACCTACATTTATCCATGTGTCTCCAAAATTGCAAATAATAAGCTGGATAAGCCAGCTTACACACAGGAATGTGCGTAGTTGTGCCTGTTAAATCACAGTCTCTGTGATTTTTCTGATCAATGCAGAGAGATATTAATTTCAAATACATTTTTCATGCTTAGAGGTAACTTTGGCCTAATTTGTCCCTTTCATTGAAAATATACCTTGGCCTTCAGTTGTAGTTTGCAGCCAGGACTATACCAAGCCAGTAAGTATCACCCAAAGCCGTCTGGAACGTGGCTGCTCACCTGAAGATCGCGAAGATGTTAAATTGGATAAAATCTTCTCTTTGAACACTATTAGGTGAGTTAAATGTCTCAGTCTTTATGCCTGGATGTAGGCAGGATAAATGGCTCTTGTACAGGAAAACAGTGAGTAGTATTGTAGCTACTGCGGAAAATTTCACATATGCTCTACCGTGTCGTGTTGGCAAGGCTCCGAAGCAGCATGAAGAAAGGGCACATTGCTCACAGTGCTAGCACATATGATTAAAGATACAGCAAGACAAGTAGCAATCTCTCACAAGAGATTTAAAAATCACTTATTTAGAAAAACGATGCTTCCAAATCACTGAGCAAGATAAACAGCCCACAGGGAAAACTTGATCTTATTATAATCAGAACTACCAGCTACTCGGCTACCGTAGCTTAGAATATTCAGATGTTCTGGATACCTTCCAAAATCTGTGTCTCCATCAATTGTTAGATGTTAGTTTTAAAGTGGTTGGTTTTGGGGTTTTTTTTCCCTTTCTTTCTTTTATCTTATTCTAAAAGACATTTTTCAATTACTTTTATTCTTTTGCTTAGGAATCTTTAAGAGCCATACAGTGTATAAAGCATAAAAATATTCATTTTCTGAGCTACTTTCTTGTCGCTTACTGAATGGAAACATGAGCTATATGTTCATATCTGTAATAACAACACTGTGGTGGTTGGTTTGGAGCAGGTGCATATGTCACCAGAGAAAAGCAGAGGTATCACAACCATTTTCCTTGACTTCTGAAACATCACCAGCTTTTGGTGGTGAAAACTCTATAACTCTTCTTCTAATCTTGTCTGTCTGGTGTTTCGGTTTTAATGTCGGCTCTGCTTTTCTGATATACCTGGTTACAGTAATCTTTTACAGTCATTCTTTAGCCTCACGGGCTACTGCAACTGAATTAATTATAGCAAAGTGCTGCAACAGAACACCAATAATGTTCTTTGAGGTGTGTATTGCACCAGATTCCCAGATGGATGAGTTTTTTAATAAACTCAGCTTCACCGCATGTATCAGTTTTCTCAGCTGTCTAGAAACCAAGTTTACATGTGTGCCTTGCTCTCATGCACTTGTGCGTGACCCGCCTGGGCTAAGGGACCGCTGAATATACATCAAGCAAAGGTGAAAAGCCGTTGCACATATAGGTAATTTTAATCCATTCCATTTTTAAATACCACAATAAATTTAATTTTCACAATAAATTAAATAGCCATATTCAGTTTACAAAATAGAATTACTTAGTGTGAAACCAGTATTTACAAACATTGTACACTATGTACACGATGGTTAGCTTTGTCAACACACAAGCATAGAAGAAAAAATTGTTTGACCTTTTTTTGACACATGATTGACATGCTACAAGTGACACTATGGTCCATACAATAAAACAATAGTGCAAACTCACCACAGGAACTCTGAAACAATGTCATTTGTATGAGATATTAATTTCAAATAATAAGAAAATAGTACTATCCACTCTCGTTGTAAAAATTCAGCACTGGGTTTAAAGTGTCAGTATTCCTTTAGCAATATACATACCAAATATAGCCTGAAGATTATGCTTTCTCACAGCTTCACAGACTTTTGACATGAATTTTTATGGCATAAACTAACGTTCTGCTTAGATCAATAAGTATGTCACATAAACACTTCACTAAGTGAGAGGAACACTGACCCTTTTAACGGTGTCTGATTTTATTTCCCTAAATACCTCCTTTCCCTTTATTATTATATCTTAAAAGATGCAACTACGCTGACAGTAAATTTATGTTAGTTACTACTCTGTAGAAAAAATTGATCCCACCGTATATTTGGTCACACACTGCATATGTACACGTATGCATGAAAAAAGGTTACTTTGATAGCCGCGTCTATGAAAAGTGCATATTTTAGCAGAGACATTTATTGCATGTCTCAGGTACAACAGAAAGTGTTGCATGAAGTTTAGTTTAGGGCCAGTTAAATGTCCTCCCAGTTATCTGGTAAAATTTTTGATTAAAAGGATGAAAGAACTTGCGCAATTTGGTAATGACAGAGGTATCCACCTCTGGATGGATGCGTCCCTTGCTACCCGCCAGGCACTTGTTAAAGACAATGTTAAATCGCAAGCAGTAGAACCCTCTGGTGGCATTGAAGTATAAATTGTACTGACTTATCCTTGGAGGAAGATTTAGGAACTTCTCGACCAGCTGGAGTTCTGGCAGTGGTTCTGTGATGAGCCGGTCTCCATCTACGATATGAAACTGCTCGATTGGGAAGTATTTTAACCATCTCTCCAGATGTTTTGTGTAGATGCTGGTTCTCACTGCCTTATACTTAGTGTTCACTTCGCAGGTATTAGGATCAATAGCCAGCTTCTCAAATTTGTAGTAAGTTTTGTTCTTCCTTTCCTTACCTTCCAGCACCTGAGTGTAATCAGAAATAGCTCTTGTGGTAGGTTCCCTGACAATGATCAATAATTTGATAGATGAGTTCATTTTGTAAATCCTTTCAGGTACTTCCTCAGTGATAAAATATGCAGGGCTTTTCTCAATTGTTATCTGATGAGGGTAAGAAAAAGGCATTTTTTTCCGGTACCACTCAGTCCCCTTGGCATAGTTCTCATCATTGTCAAAGAAGTGAATCTCTTGAGAAGCTTTGACCACTGCGGGGTGAAGGTTCAGCATCTCCAGCAGTGCTCGGGTGCCTCCTTTCCGGATTGTGCAGTCGTACTTGTTCCTTGGTGGCATTGCCCTTTCGGAACTCATGGAGCAGCCCTCGCTTGAACTGCAGAGCTCGCAGAGGAATTTCGTCCTGGCCACGGGGTCCAAATCGACCATCGATAGGGCAGAGGGGCTGCAGTCTGCAATCAAAATAAGAGGCATTTGTAAAAAAGGGATATCTCTGATGGCAAGTTTTCTGTCACGCTCATGGAAATCTTTTGCTATTAATGTGATGTGCCCATCTTTCAACTTTTGTTTTATTCTGCCAGTGATTAAATTGTTTGAAAATAGTTTGATTATTTATTCTGGTATTTTGCTGTGATTTGGCTGAATAACTCCTAACTCCACCCTTCTGCTCTTTTCAAGCATAGGCACTATGATTACTATTCTCAGGGCTTCTTGAACCTTACTTCACCTCCCCCGTTGCTGATTACTTTGTGATTGATTGAACAGATTTTAAAGCATTCTAAGATGAATTTTATTTGGTCATTTTCATCTGAAAATACAGTTATGTTGTCTCTTCCCGACACTTTTCCTATTCTAGCCTGAGTTCTTTCCTGTGCTTCCCACTGAGTTGACTTTATTAGCAGTTGATCCAAAGTTGCCCTCTTTGAATAGGAGCAAAAGGGATGAAAACCAGCTTTCTAGGCATCACCTTTCAATATTTTCCCTCTGCTTTTTTCCCTGGGACAGAATCAGGAAGCCCGAGGTTCTGAATCAGGCATGATTAACAAGGCACAGAAAAAATGGCAAAAGAATATTTAAAAAATGCATTTATTGCATCATTACAACAATGATTTTCTTGTCATCACTTATGTATCCTCCCACTGAACCTCATTTTGTGCCTTACTGTTTCTTCCTTTGCCCCAGTGTTTTTGTGCTATTCTTTTATATTCACCTGCAATTATTTCACCTATTCTCCACTTCTCTTATGCTTCCTTCTGGTAGTTGATGTCATTGAATCCAAGAAATGATTCAGTAAGAAAAATTTTAAAATTTTGCTGCTACAGAACCTTGAATAAGCCCTCACCTCTACTCCCAAATCAGTGCTTTGGTCATTATACAGGCCAATATTGCACTGGACATGAAGTTGGTGTATAGAGAGAGCTTCCAAAATCCTACAGAAAAATATCATTAATAATTATTTGGAGAGCCATGCTCTCCAGAATTAAGGATATGTAAGAACAAAGGTTGCCTAGACAATTTTAATATGAGCTCACTGTGCACATATATTATGATAGGGTTTTTAAATTACATGGCCACATGCTATTATTTTTCACAAGACCCCTGCCTCAGCCAGTATAGCAGATGGGCAATGCTCATTAATAGCTGTTTAGGTATTCAGTATTTATTCTGGTTTCTCAGCATGTGGCCCCTCACTCATTTACTGTATATTATTCAAACCCTGCTTTCAGGACAGAATTATTTATTTCTTTATGGTTTTTCCATCCATCACTGCTTGTTGGGGTCTCTAATTTGACACTGATGCTAGGACAATGGATGGCTGGGAGAAAGTAAGTTTGATCCCCCTGGCTCACCCACTAGCTGTTTCCTTGCTTATCCAGATGCTGAGAGATACAGCCTGTCCAGACAGAGCTGAAGAAATGACCCAGATGACATTGCTGGGGCCACATGAGCTCTAGCTAAGTCCTGCAGACTAATTAGAAGGTGTGATGAGAAGTGAGTTCTTGTTGTTATCTCTTTTCTCAAGTTTCCACTCCCTTCTTCTCCTTTGCTCTCTGCCATCTACTGAATAAGAGCCTGACTTAGTCGCAAAGCCTGAATTGTTGCAACGCTGATGCAAACCTGCCGATAAAAAAAAAAAAAAATAGAACCAAAAAAACCAACCCAGAAGGCAATGTCTTAACTTGACAGTGGTACAGTTTGGTTAGACTGTGGTGTGGCTGGTAAGACAGCCTTTCTGCAGCAGCAAGGTGGCAGTTAGTAGCAGAAGAAACAGAAGCTGCAATCGCTGTCTCTGTTCTTCACTTCCCTCTCCTTCTGTGTATTTGTTATTTGTTTTCAAGCAAAAAGGATTCCACAACAGCAGTTCCAGACCCATCTCAGCTAATTTATCTTTTTTGCTCAAAAAGACGGTTAGCACTGCCTTCAGTGTAACACAACAGCTTGTCAAACAGGGTGGTTTCCTTTAAAAGTAAATAAATACTCGATATACCCTCTAGCCTAAAGGAATAGATTGGATGTTGTTAAAAGTCCTTCCTCAGCGCTTTACATTTCAGGTT